ATATATATTTCGATGTAGTCGCACGCTATGATTCAACAGCACGAAAATTAAATACCACTGGGCCGACATTATTGCCGTTTCATCAGACCGTTGAATAATAAATGCGGTGATGAGCTACGAGGCTCCTACCCCGCCGCCACCCACAATCCTCCTGGCCTAACCCATTGTGGGGAAGCCAGGGGCTCGTTTGAAATATCTGCCGCATAATATTGGAACAGTGGGCTCGGGTAGAATTTTATTTCGAGCAGCGCATCGGCGGAGGGGAAGGGAGGGATATATATATCGCGGTGGCTTGTGTATCGTCGAGTGTATCGAGCGGGACATTCAGCGGAACATCGGCTTAAGAGAAGAAACTGCCACACGAGGAACAAGTGCTACAAAGCAGACACACCATCGCGTGCATATCTTGGCCTCGTATTCGTCTCATAAACTTCTCGGATATTCTTCCGCGACACGCTTCCGTCATCCGTCGTTCCGCGTTTCGCGCGATTTTCACCCGAAAGAAATTCAATTTCGCGTTACATTAATTGCGCCGCAAGGTCGAACGCGCCCGTTTATAAACTCTTTTGTCACTCACTTTTTCTCGAACGCGTGTTCGTCGAGGGAAACCCGTCGCTCGTGATCGACGATTCGTTTTTCACCCGTCGATCGTGAGAGGAACGTTCCGCGGGTAATTGCGTTTTGAACGTTCGAAACTTGAGCGGCTGGGGTTATCGTCTCCTCGGGTAAAGGGACGAATAGAGTAGAGAGAGAGAGAGAGAGAGAGAGAGAGAGATTGCTCTCGAACTTGAAACGCCAGTCACGAAAAATGCGCATCCACTTCCCTCTCCCACCTTCGTTTCTCGTCGTTTTACGTCGTAGCTTATACAGTAAATGTATATAGACGGCCGTCTCTACATTGGTTTCCGATGATTAGCCACTCGATTGGAAGCAATCGCCACACGCTGGCCTGTTCCGCAGTTTCCACTTATTATAGCGACCGATCACTACGAAATGCGGCTACTAGTTGGGTAAACGCCAGTAAACTCGACCTCGGTCTGCTACCAAGTCTCGACCGAACAATCGCGGCTTTCGGATTTTCTGGCTGCAAAATGCGTTTCACGAGACACGGCCGATCGAATTACCTGGCCGTCGATTAGATTTCATCGATATTCGTGAATTCGGCTGATAAAAAAAAGAAAAAAAAACGGTTTTGATTGTGGTTGGAGAGTGTATAATACAACTGTGCAAATAATTTCGTGATAATTGAACGTAAGTGATATGAAAATGAACTTTCGAAGCAGCAACATTTTTCTCTTTTATTTTTTCAACTCCAAAAATTGGATTGATCTTTTTCTTTCATTTTACTAAGTATAAAAATTGGAAATGTTTAATCATAGTTCACTTTATGTTCGATATTTCACGAATGAGAAAGGCATTCTCTCGTTTCTTTCGATATTTATCATCCTTTCGCGATTCCAGTTCTTCGATTAAAAAAAAAAAAAAAAAAAAAA